AACATTACCCCAGAGCAACTTACTGTATAGCTGCAACAGTGAAGCTGCTAAATGTACTCCCTGAATATTTACTTCCAGTTCTGATCGTATAGATTTGGCTTCATCTTCAAAAGGCATGGCTTCATAGTTTTCTGGAGAATGCAAGATAGAAAGATTCACCTTACAAGAGAGGTTTCCAAGTTTGCTCTGCAAATTGATGTAGAAATGTTAAAATAGAGCCAGACAATTGAAACTGTCTTGGAAACACGGAGGGTTGTGGGTTTCTTTGTTTGTTTGTTTTGTTTTAATGTTTTTTAAAATATTTGGGTTTTGTTTGTTTGTTTTTCAAAATACACTTTTCATAGAAGGAAGTAGATTCTGCAATGGGCACACATACACCCATGCACCGTCCCCAAAATCACGTGGATCCAGGCAGAACTAATGCTGCTTAGAGGAACTTCATGGGAGGAGAAATCTCGTTGCTGAAAGATCTGTAATGCAAAAGCCATTCATCATGAAGATGAAAGTGAAAAAAAGCCCACACAATGATATGTAAATATATTCAGATATTTGTGAACACTAAATCATAAACTCCAAGGGGGTGTCAGTATATGACATTGCCATTGTGTTCTGTCTGAGGTTGGAAGCTGGATAACCCTGTGGATTGTAACGCTCAGTGAGGATAGATTACACCAGTAGAGAAATGCCACTTGCTGAAGGGCTTGGTAATGCAGCATCTGTATGTTCCTCCTCTACAATCTTTTTAAATTGTGTAGAGATTGTCTAGAGAACCTGTGTGGTGTAAACACTTGTACTGTCACTAAGAAGGATGCTTGCAAGTATATTCTTAAAAAATATGTGTATAATCATTATACCATCTTCACCATATCTTGTAGTAGGGGTTGATTGAAATCCATAGCTCCTGGAAAAGGAGACACCTGCCTTCTGCATCACTGAATGACAGCTACTCTACATAATTTCTGGGCGAGTGAATAGCCTTTGAAGGCAAGAGATCTTACTTTGGTAAGATCTCCAGTTAATTGCAGGTGGCAGGACTGGAACCAGACACGATTCAAAGTATGAAGGACTTCTTTGTATTATACCACACTCCTTTTTATGCCTCTTTTATACTGTAAAAACCTGTAACCATAATATATATATATTAATATGGTGTTACACCAACAGCATAATGTAAAGAGACTTTAGTGAAACTCAGACAAAATTTGTTGAGTAGCAACTGGACCTACATAGATTTTCTCATTTTTAAAAATGTTGTTCCATATTGGACATTGTGAGGCTAACTATTATCTTTTTTTGCTCAGTGTTTGAATGTGAAGTCCTCAGGAAACAACCGTATGATTTTGGATTTCATATTTTTAGACAAAATATGTCTTTGAAGAAAAGTAGTCTTCATGAAATTTTTCCTTGTCTCTTCAAAGCACTGGGAAATAAATTCCTAGAGGAGGAGAGAATGTCTTTCATACATAAAGATAAGCAAATTCTGAATTAAGAAATGAATAACATCCTTGCTTTGTTTTTAAAATAACAAGTACCGCCTTGCTGAGATTTGTGGGTTTCCTGCAGTTACCCACACACTTACATACTTCATAAGCACAGTCTTCCCTGTATATGGGAGCTGGGCAGATTTTTGTTTCTATTGCTGCATAGTGTTTCAGTAATTTTGAAGTGCTGCAATGCAATACTTCTTCATTGATAAGATTTTGCATTTCACAGTGTGATTTCTATACAGTTTAGAAGAGAAACCCAAATCTCTTCATCCCAGCATGTTTATTCTGCCAAATACGTTATTGGGTGAGAAAAGTAGGAGAAAAAGATTAATGAGTGGCCCTTAGAGAATCTTAAATACAGGCAAGAGTTATGCTAAAGCATCTCGTTGTCAAAACTTGGTGAGTAACTACTGTACAGCCTGCCCTGAGCCAGTACCACATAGTAGCTTTTTCCATCCAGGATCAAGAGGATCAAGCCAGAGAATGCTTTTTTGCAAGCACTTTTTTTTTTTTTTTTTTTTTTTTTTTCCCAAATAATGAGTTGTATCATGCAGCTATTTAATAGGGTGAGCCTTTAATTCTCTTATGAAACATGGACCAGCTCCCTGCCTGCCTTCCTGTTTTACCTGATTAGTGTGGTATTTTGGAGATGGAGAGATTGAATCCCTTAAGAAAATATTTGAAGTGAAGGCATCTGAAAGAGGGTAACCTTGGCCTGGCCTGAAGTAGAGGCATTCATGTGCTCACCTGCAGAGAAGGTATCTAAGGTATCAGCCCTGGGGAGAAGAAAAATAGCTCTTAGTACATCTGGGAGAGGTGGCAGAAGGCTGGGAGAAGCTAAGATATAGAATTGTCTCGTTGAGCTCTAAGCCCCTGGCATGGGCAGGGTTGCCAAACACTAGACCAGGCTGCCCAGGGTCCCATCCAACCTGGCCTTCTTGGTGATAAATTGGGTGTTGTTTACCCTCTGGGGCTCACCAGCTTGAGTTTCATCTGCATCATAAATATTCATGTATCATGTAGTAGCCACACATCTCCCCCGGAGCAGAACAACAGACCTAAATAGTTGCTGCTTGCTGCCTACCCTTTTGTCCTTAGTCTCTGGGTCTTGGTCCTTCTGTAGCTCACCTAACATAGCTGCGGGTGGTGGCTGCCTCCTGTTCTGCACTAACCAACTTTGTTAAGCCAAGCAGGAGAATAAGAAGGAAGGGATTAACTTCATTAAGTAAAGCCTCTGATAATTTAACTCCTGTAATTAAATACTAATTATGTGATATTCATCTACGACTGGATGTTGAGTTCTGTAAGCAGTCTAGAGAACTGTGTGTGTTCTTTTGGCATTCTTCTTTCTCATGATGCTGCTGAAGGGAAGGCACACTATTCTTGGAGGGATGCACAGAGATGCTCTATTCTGTGGCTGTGTTGCATGTACAGAAGTGCTGCTCCACTGTTGTGGTCCAGTTCTCTGCAAATAGAGGGCTATGCAGAAAGCTGCTTAGAATGCATCTTTCATTCAAAACCATCTCACAAATCAGAGTAGTAAAAACCGTGTATCTTTTTTTCTGTGTCTCTCAGTACAATTGAGCAGATGAGCAAGATCCTACCTAGAAGGAAAGAAATGTCGCTGTGCTGGAACCTTACTCTCTGCTCATATCCTGTTCTTACAAATAGGTATTAAAGTTCAGTAACAGGCAAGTGAATAAACTCTTCAGCTGTACAGGACAGCATTTTAGTCACCAGATAATTTGGAAAGAGCCTCACATGTTAAGTTTTTAGAGTTATTCCGCTAATATAAATTTTTAAACCTTCTTGCCTTTAAAAATGAGAACTGTGTCTGAAACATGCTTTTGTTCATTTTGATATAGATTCTTCTCTAATTTATGAAATTATGCTGTTGTATGTAGAGCCCAACTCAATTAGCTCCCTCAAATGGCTATTTTCCACTTGATCTAAGCTACACTCTGAGGTTACAGGCACAGAGCTCTCTAGCACTGTAATAATAGGCTTTTTTTTTGGCATCCTTCCTTTTCGATTTGATTAGTTTTTCCTTCAGCCATTAGCAAATATTTTTTCCTAGCTAAATCCTATTTCACGTTCTCCAGCTTTTTAAAATTCCTTTTTCTTTTCTTTGGTGTTTCTGACACATCCAAGTGAAGCGTCAATTGCAAGTTTAATTAACATATCCTCTGCTTTCTTATTTCATGTGAGTAATAACAGTGCTGAGCAAACATAAATCCAAAATCAGTCCCTTTGGTGTACCCTAAGCTCCTTCCACTGACCAGGTTTGACTTCATGGATTATTGTGACTATGGTGCTTTGTTTAAATCCCTTAGACACTCCTTTGACCTTGTAACAGAGTATGCATCTAGGCTGATTTTTTTTTTTTCCAGGTGAAATCACTGTAGTCTCTGGCATTGGTTTTTAGCTCAAATCTGCCACTTGAATATGTGGATTGGAATGAACTCCATCCACAAACACTGAGTAGACAATCCCTTGAGAACAAGGAAATTTCCAGCTAACATAAACCTGAAAGGATCAGGCATTGCCTCAGCTGCATGCGCTTTTGTGCGTCTTAAGGAGGGAGAGAGCAGAGAGAAACTCACAATACATAACAGATCTTTGTTTTACTTCCTCAGCTAGCACAGAATAGGGATAAATGCAATAACCACATATTGTACTTTATCTGGCTATAGCAGTGAGTCTTTTCATCTCTCCTTTTAGATTCTCTTGAAAATGTCTTTTTTTTCCTGTTACCTCTGCTTAACTTTTTCAAGCCTTTTTCACTAAGAATACAATAGAAGTATTTTAATATATAATAATTACCTATTCACTCAGTAGAACATACAACTACCATGAATTTAATGTGCCTGGCCTAGTAGCCAATGGCTGCATAATTCTGCAGGCAAATTCTGTTTCCTGGAACTCGTTCAGTTATTCTATGAACTAAACTGGCAACTGGAAGTTAATAGCAGATATTAAGGCAGCATTGAGTATTTTGTACGCTGTTAACAACACATGCACATAAATTAGAATAATGGAATCACCAAGGTTGGACAAGACCTCCAAGATCATCCAGTCCAACTATCCATCTATCACCAATATTTCCCACTAAACCATGTCCATCAGTACAACATCTAAACTCTTCTTGTACACCTCACCACCAGTGACCCCACAACCTTCCTCGGCAGCCCATTCCAGCACCTGAACACTCTTTTGGGGAAGAAATATTTTCTAATCTCCAATCTGAATCTCCCCTGGTGCAACTAGAAGACATTCTCTCTAGTTTTATTGCTAGTTACATGGGAAAAGAGGTCAACCCCCACCTAACCATAACTTCTCTTCAGGTAGTTGTCAAAAGCAACAAGGTCACTCTGAGCCTTCACTTCTCTAGTTTAAACAATCTCAGCTCTATCAGCTGAATCTCATAAGGCTTGTGCTCCAGACCCCTCACCTGCTTGTAATTACATGTATTCAAAGACTGCCATTGGATCTTGCATTCTGGGCAGGACTTGTCTCACTGGGGTTGAGTTTCTCCAAGAAGTTGGTGTCTTCCTGAGCAACCTGCATTCAGATGGGAGGAAATACCATCCTGAGGTGCCATTCTCCCTCCATTGCCCTGAAGTCTCATTGTTGAGCAAGCTGATACTGTGGAGGTGAGGAGAAATCCCCATTTGTGATGGCTGTGGTAGTTGTTTCTGGATGAACAATTTCACAATAACTTCAGATTACTCACTTCCTAGGTTGTAAATGCCCAATAGTGGCTCTTTCCTAAGGCTGCCTATTCTCTTTGTTTACCACTGAATGTGTAAGACAATTCTGACAAAAAGCTGGTTTAAATTCAAACCCTGGTTTAGAGATTTGCTTTACAAATGCTTAAACCTTCAAACCAAGGAATAGAAAGGTAAGACAGAGCCTTAAAGAAGCCCTGTGAAATAACTGTAAATAAGTTATTTTGCCACTTCTCTTGAAAACTCACATATGCATAACAGTGGTTCAAGCACAAATCCCAGGTAATTATATGAATTTCAACATCTGCATGAAAAAGGGGTATTATAATCCTTCTTTTTGCTGTTGTTTCTTCCCAGGCCCTCAGCACACAAAGCTCTCTGCCTCAGAAGCTGGGATGAAGAGATGAAGCCCTGAATCCCCTGTGGTCCTCGTTTTGCACACTACTGTACATCTCCTGCATTTCTGTGATTTGCATTCCCCTGTGAAGCAGCCAAATGAATAAACATTAAACATGGAGACCGAAAGAGCAATATTCTTGCTAAAGAACCTCTCTCTTTCAAAAATCAATGAGATAATATCCTTTTAAAGCTATTTCCAACTGTTGTCTCTCCTGATTTGGCTCTCTGGGAGTTGAAAATATTGAGGAGATTACTGACAGATTTAACAACGGAGAGGTTCACCTTATTTCGATCTGGTACTTTTAATGTCCTCTAATGCTTTGTCTATGCTGTGAAGCCAGACAAGAGGCCATCTCACTGCTTTTATTTGGTCAGGTGAAGCACTGGGTAACTGTGACTTTCTGGATTATTTTAGGGAGGACAGCCATGAAACTGGCAGAAAGTCAGTGGTATCGTGGAAAAGCATCTCATCTCCTGCAGGTTTGCCACCACTTTCTACTATCCAGCAGGGAGCATCCTGAGCTTACCTCAACAGAGCCCTGCTCCTGCTTAGCCCTTTTGGAAGAGCTGGAACATGCTCATATCCTTCCAGCTGCACAGAGGCACATCAGTGGCTGCTTAGAGCTCCAGCTTCACAGACCATTATAGAAATAATAGTCCTCACAGGATCATTTCTAAATGACTTGTGAAAATAGATTAGGTACATTGAGTTCAGGCAAAAAACATCTTTTTTATAGGTTTTGTGCAAACAATCTGTTCCTTTGATACATCTTGCTACTGAGTTTCAAAGAAATCAAATTGATGAAGCTGTGAAGAAAGCAATTTGTTAAAAATTAAGCTTTCTTCTTGGGAGATTCAAGTTGAAAGAACATCTCTGTGGACTGTGCCTAATCAGAACCTTTGAACGCTATCAGGCATGCCCCATTAGGGTTGCCAGCTTTCCAAAACAAATTACTTACTCTAATCCCTTGCCTGATGTATGCTGTAAAAGACAATAGTTCAGCTTGACAACACTGTTATTGCATGAGATTTATAGTGTGCAGCTGAGGAAACCTCAATTTATACTTTATATCACAAAGTGGCCACGAACCCCACTTCAAGACAAAGAGTATTATAACTATCAAACTTATTTAACCTAACTTGCCAGGTTTTCAATGTCTCTGGTTCAGCTCTGTTAGCTTGAGCAGAGTTGTACTGATTTACACCTGATGACAGTCTGGCCATAATAAATACTCCCTTCCTCCCCAGGGTCTAGAACTTTAAGATCACTTGGTATCACTAGGAACTGTGAGTGGACTAGGCAGCAGTGAAGAGAATAAATTCATTCACATGCACTGCAGTTGATTACAATTATTAAGTCGTAGTTGTGAGAGTTTTTAGCAGGAGTAAAACAGCATAGTCCCATGAAAGTAATGCAGTATTTCCATCCGTTCACTCCAGTTTTTGGAGTGCATCACTGTGTACTTAAACTCGTTCCTTACACAATTATTTTCTTTATGTAATGAGCTTGGTCTTGTTTAATTCATTCTGTGACCAGTCACTTGTATCATCACAAAGGCTTCATAATGTCATTAAAACATTCAATTGGATCATAAAATAATTCAGAATTAAATGAAGCACAGTAGCTTAAATTATTCTGTAACTTTCAGCTGTGCAAATGTAGTGAAGGAACTGTGTATTTGATAGTAATTGGAATAGAGTAAGTCATCTTCTAACAAAAAAAAAAAATGCAGTTGGTATAATCATATTTTGTATTAGATAAAGTGTCAGTGATACCATATGTCTTACAGAATGAGAAAGGAATAATTCCTGTGGTATTAATTTTGATGAGCACAGATCAAGGTAGGTAACCATGTCCTGCACCAAGCTGAGTTGAAGGAGACAAATATGCAAAGAAACCAGGGATTCAGCTCTACCAAAATGCAGATACCTCGCAAAAGTGGCCTGGCAGCTCTGGTGGTACCAATGGACGTGGATGTCTTGGGATGCTTCTAAGCCTCTTGGGCCTTTGTTCTCTGAGAGGTTTGAACAGAAATGAGTTGAAGGTCCAGAGTTATCCCAAGTACTGGGGTGAGATTTCTCCCATGCTTCAAGCACAGTTCCTGCTCATGGATCAGAGTCTTTTCTAGAGCTTGAACTGTGAATTTGAACTGCATGCATCCCACCTCTGAGACAGTGCTTTGTTTGGACAGAACAAAAACTTCTTTTCTCTCTTTGAAGTGGGATTTCAGTGGCCTTGGACTACAGTTCTCTATGCCACTCTCAGAAGAGAACTCTCAGAAAACTATTTGCTGGTTGCTGTACACTTGAGGCAATTTAAGATTTCTTGGTTTAGGTACCAACAGTGCTACCGAGCATTTTTACCTCTAGTTCTTCTTTCTTTGTTTCCTTTTCCTTCTCTCTCCAACAGAATCATCATCTTTAAGGAAGAGGGAGTCTTCATTTGCAACATCAAAGACAAAAATATAAACAGTCCACACGTATCATGTCATGTTTTCTTCCCAAACTTCATTTTGCAGCCAAATATGGTTATAGAAATGAATTTGAATGTTAGAAAAGGTAACAGTGAAAGCTTTTTAAAGGTTTATGTAGGAATGTTGCTAGGATGGAAAACAGAGACAGTGCTTCTTCTTCCAGAAAACTATTAAATGTGAACAAAATGCTGTTGGTCCTGGAGAGCTTTAGGCTTAGTAGGAACAGTGAAATTTCTGAAACATTTGCATTCTGAACATTACCCTTACAGCTGTGTCATGTTTTTGTTCCTGTTCACTTATTAATCACTGCAGTTTTCAATACTTTGTCTACTAAACATACAAGGATCTGATCAGCTCTCTATCTTGTATGTCAGTTTTTCTAGTGCAAACTCTCTATAATTTTTGCTTGACATCATAGTAAATGTGTGGTTCATTTCCCTTGAAGTGAGATGCCCTCTGCAATGCTTCCATACAATCTGAAATCTAGAAAACAGAAAATTTCTTCAGGTTAAGTTTTGCAAAAACCTTACTTTTGGCCTCATTTGACTACAGTTAAAATGGTAATGAGAAGACAGTTGAACTAGATGATCTTACACATCGTTTCCAACCTTGTGATTCTGTGGTTCTATGGTTCTATGAAAATCAAAGAAACTTTGCTACCAATATCATACAAACAAAATAACCAAAATCTTACACTTCTAAAAATGGCAGTCTCTTAAATATATCTTTGTTTTGCACTAAATGTTTTTGAATTAAATATTCTTATGTCTCTTTAAGGAAGAAAATCTTTTCCCTCTCTTTCCTTGGAAGGAATAACATTGTACTTATAATAAAGTTTGCTGTCATGATAACTTAATTGAGGCAATAAGTCTTTGCTATCTTTGTGCTGGTTTATAAAGCAATGACATTTTCCTTTCCTTTAAAAATTAAAATGTAGAGCTAGTCTGGATATTGAAATGACAGTTCTGTTCTTTGCATATGCACCTATGTATTTTCCACCTATGATGCTTGCATTGTGGAGGGAAAAGAAATGGATAGATTATAATTATGACAAATTGTGCTAGTACACTTTTCCTATTGTCTTCTCTTTACAATAAAGAAACCGTCCTTTCCATGGAAAGGTTTTTGGAATTCAGACAAACCACTGTTGCAAGTGAGCAGATGCTGATGTGGACAATAAGATGGGCTTAGGTCAAAGCCCAAATGAAGGGCTAGTGTCCTGTCATCCTGCTGAGCTAAGATGGAAGCTCAGCAATATACATAGTATGTTGGAGGAAGAACTGAAGAATTTCCAGGTTTGAGTATATATGTTGAAAGCAGTTCTCTCACTTTCATGTATTTTTGAACCTTTCTGCACCTCTTTCCTTCAGGTGTTAAACCTTTCATTCCTTTTGGTACTTCTGTAGACATTAAAATTGGCTCTGATGTCACCGTTCACATTGTTGAGGACCAGAATTTTAAAGGGTTGAATGGAAAACATTAATGGTAAGATGCAAACCTTGAGAAAGTAAGGCTAGAGTACTGAACAAATTATCCCAATTTAGGCTGCATTTTCTCATGAGTCTCTTTGACTTTCTGGTGACAATAGATACAAGTTTTAGGATTTGACTTTTGATTGTAATTGAGTGAAAAGGAGCAGGAAATTTTCAACACAAGTGACAAGAGGCAAAAATCTGATGCTCTAAACAGATAAATTTCACAAATTGTATTCACTTTAATTCATGATGTAATAAATATCAACAATAAATTATTCTACCTTCCCCCCCCCCAAAAAAAAACACCCAGAACACTGGGATGGCTATCAGTGTTTATCCATGCTCCATAGACACACAAAACTCTTGCATATTGGAAAAGCCAATAGTACCTAAATTGATGGCTGCCTATTCAAGACATCTCATTTATTATAGTAGATGTGATACAGACAAATAAAAGAATGACCCTAAGGAGACTGCTATGTGAAGAAGAATAGGAGGATAATGAGGTCAGATAAAACGTCTGGATCTCATTAATCCCAAAGAGCTAAGAGAGCTTTCAGTGACAGTACAGCAAAGATGGTGAAGCGTGATGAAGGAGCCCATACTGACATCACTGTTACCTGGTAACCCAAACCTAAAGAAATCTCCATCTCTTCTTTGTAAATGGCCAAAAAAAGCACAAGGACGCTTGGTAGTACACCTGCAGGCAAACGCTCTATTTACTGCATAAATATGGGTTTGAGTCAATGAGGTGTTAGTCTCTTTCACTTTCTGTTAGCAAGTTGCTTGCCTAACATCTCACCTATGTATCCATTCTTGCAAACATAGCCCCTTTCAATATGGAAAACAGCTGATTTCTATCTTTCAGAATAACCTTTTGTATTATGATAGCTTGTTACCTCCATGTAGGCCCCATGCATCACTTCTTCTTGATTAAACAAATCTAGGTCTTATTATTTTCCTATAGGGCTTATGCTTTTTTTTTTTTTTATCAGGATCTCTATTTTGCTGCTCTTTTCACACGTGGTGACCCATTAAAACCTTTAGATTCTTTACAGCTATGCTATGATCTAGCTGGCCATTCTCCATTTTTTAATTTTCCATCCTAAATACAGCATCTGTATTGTATTTAATCTTATTGATTTCAGGTCATTTATCCAATTTATTGTGATCATTTTGAAGTCTAATCCCGTCTTCAAAAATTCTCATGAGCTTTCCAGTAGGATGTCATCCACAAATTTTATATGTGTAATCTCCATTTCATGATCCAAGTCATTTATAAAAATATTGAATAACAATAGGCATAGGACAGGCTCCTGTGGGGCCCACATGATGTGACCTTCCAGCTTGACAGCAGGCTATTGATAACTACTCTTTGCATAAGCTTTTTCAGGCATTTGTGTATCAGCTTTGTAGTGATTTTGTCTAGATGATAATCCTTCATATGCCTGACTCCA